GGTGAAAAGGGTTGGGCAGAGAAGGGTAGGGTAGAGAGGAGAGAAAGAGGAAGGGAAGACAACGGAGAGGAATAAAAAACTTTCTCCCACCTTGGTCAGAGGATCCAGGGATGTGTCGGGCTGAGCGACGTAGCTGATGGGTGGAGCCAGCACCAGGCACAGGTCAAAAGCCGTTGCTATGGGAACCAGACGGATCTCCTTCCTCTCCTGAGTCATACTGCGGGCGGAGAAAACGACGCTTCATTTCAGCAGAGTAATAAGTTCTTTTAGCTTTTAGTTTTAGTAAGGTTTTACGGCGCTCGCAACTGCATACGGTCATATGAGCGCCAAGGGGTGGATGTCAACAGAGAAGTGCATACAGGGAATCAGACTTACTCTGCTCACCTCTCCAGCTTCATCAGCACAGAGTCTGCTTCGACTATCAAGGCACCCCGGAAATAGCGGGTCACAAGAGTGTGACAAACATACAAAACAATTAGAGGGAAAATGACGATAGTAAGGATTAGGAAAGAAAAAGCAGCAGTTCCCCCTATGTTGTTCCGGCACAGTTATGAGCATGACATTGATAAATCAGCCCATTTACAATTCTACTGTGTATAAGAACATGTTAATGTCCCCCCTTTGGGAATGGCCTAAAGACACTTCAGTCAGTGGCACTGCCCGAGGGGGGGATCAGCTAAGTAAAAATTTCTTTCTGACCGGTAAGAAATATGAGAGACGCTGACAATATGAGTTACTTCTTGCAATCCATAAATGGAGATATTGGTTGAAAATCAACACAAGGGTCAACCTTGTATTTGTTTAATTTCCTCAAGTTTAATATTATGTTTTTATATATCTAAAACTAACAAATTGTATAAATTCAACCTTAAAATTTGATGAATCTTTCCATTGGGCTAAAATCTGAGTAACTCATTTTGTCTGCATGCCTCACAATTGTCTTGAAGATCTCAGAGAACAAAGTACAGGCATTATGGTTTTTTAGCTTTCCTTTCAGTAAAAGTTTTACAGCACTTGCAACACAATTAGGTCATATACAAGTACATTCTTTTTGTACCGAAGATCAGAGGTGTTACTATAGAGTAACATACAAAGAAAAAAATGTAGAAAGATAAGGACGATAGATGTTTGATAGGAAACAAGGAGCAAACCACACCAGAGCACCCTCCAACCATCCATGAAAAGAAGAATCCACACCTTTTGTTTCAAAGCCAAACAGCCTAACAATTAGAGCATGAATGACACAACATACCTGTTACATAGGTGTAATTAATGCGAACACGGATCATTACAACACAACATACCTGTTACATAGGTGTAATTAATGCGAACACGGATCATTACAACACAACATACCTGTTACATAGGTGTAATTAATGCGAACACGGATCA